TAGGGAGGCAAATGGAATGTTAGCCTTTATTACAAAGTGAATGGAGTATAAAAGTCAGGAAGTTTTGCTAAAATTAAACAAGGCAGTAGTCAAACTACAGCTGGAATACTGTGAACAGTTTTTGGTTCCTCACCTAGAAAGGTATCCTGGCATTGGAGACAATCCTGAGAAGATTCAGTACATTGATCCCGGGTAAGGAGAGACTATCCCAAGAGGAGAGGTCGAGAAGATTGGACCTGATGGGCTGAATGGCCTCCTTCTGTTCTGTGATTCATTTAATATTCTTTGCATCTGATGTATATATTCAGATAGTGAAATAAATGATTGGAGATAGAAGTGTAAAAAGATGAACAAACCACTTTTTAAATAAAAATTTCAATTAAAATAATAGAAAATTTTGACATTCCACAAATTAGCTGAATGCACTTAACAGTAATTATGAAGTTAGTACAAGACTAAAAATCCACTTACACCGTCTTCAAAGTGTAACTTTTCAAGGGTTCGGAATAGTTTTCTGATTCTGCTTCTATTGAAAGGTGATAGACTTGAAATATTAACATTGTTCCTCTCAACATGGATTCTGGTAGACCTGTCAAACATTTTAAGCAATTTCTCTATTTATTTCAGACTTTCTGCATCCACTGTATTATGCTTCTACATTTTCAATGAACCTTTCTTTTTATAAAATGTAGGCATTTTAATAACGGGAAATCAAATAATTTGATAATGACATTCTGCTGTGAAAATTAAAGTTGGTATTGGATAACTTGATGGAAAGTTAAGTTATCTCAATTCAATAACAATAACATTTTGTCTCCATTTCTAGGCAGTTATAGATGGAAGCTTGAGATGGTTGTTGGTATATAACACAATAAGGATGATTCTGCAAACCTCTTTCTTGTTTTGCAAGACTCCATATAAGGAATGCAGTCTGCCAAAACTGTCACTAACTGCATATGGTGTTACTGAAAGTTTTGACTTCATTAAGTGTGTTCAAAATTCAGGATTTTTATTCAGAACTTGTCTGAAAACTTGAAAAATTAGGCTATGCATCCATTTGTCTGGGTAATTAAAAATGATACAGCTGCATTTAATCAGATTTTCTTCTGAAACTTTGGTACATTTCCTTTACCTACCTAATTGTGATTTAATTATTGAATTACATATGAAATTTGAGCCAAATCTGTTGTGTATGTAATGCATGTTACCTATCAAATGCAATACCCTAGGTGTGACAGATGCAGGAACAAGATGAACAGGAGATGAGAAGTATGCAAGTTCTTTCTGCTTGTTCTTGATAATTCTTACAGTTATTACTACTCTATTAGCAGGTTAATATGTTCTGCAATTTACTTTTCCAAGTATCAAAGGAAGATTATTACAGTTCATTGATTGCTTTTCTGAATGACCTTTAAGGTATGATAAGTTTTGAGCACAACTGTCAGATGATTTTAAGAAGATACTAATATCTCAGAGGGTATAAGTTAATAAAATACATTGCAACTTCAGGCATCATATCACTTCATAACTAGTGAAAGCAAAGCTTGAATAAATTCCTGACCAACAGGATTAAGTTTGCATTCTTTTTAATTTTTCTTTCCTGTTCATGCTGAGATGGTGAATGCGGTCACAAATATGTTGATATAAATACAGCCTACTGCTGCAGTTAGATTGCACTTGGAACTCACATGAGGTGCAGCCAACATCGTCTAAATTATTTTGTGGGCTCCAAATTTAATTTTGCTGTCAGCTCAGAGATTTTGTTTACATGCATGCATAGTCCGACATATTTTGCCAGATACATGTAGAATGCTTGGGTGCACAGTGTAAAAGAATTCACAGTAAGGTTACAAATTGCCCAGGGGCATATCATACAAACCAATATCATTTTGGACTGGAGTTTTACCATATGTGAGGATCTCTCATTGCTCAGCATCAGTGCACTTCAACAGCCAGGCCAGGGCCTGACTTTAATTAGACTGCCACTTTTAACAAGATAATTAAAGATAAGGAAGGGCCTCTTAGTCTATCCATCCAGAGATGTCCCAAAGCCAACACTACCTACCCATTCCACCCCTACCAAACATCTCCAGTGTAATACCCAATGAAACGGATATGTTTTGCCTCTATTACTCTATCTGCAATTTTAATCCACACCCAATGTCTACAGCTGAAACCATCTCATATCAAAGTGAAAGTGGCAACATAACACTTAAAAAAGTGTTGTGAAATACAGAAGACAAAAACAATTTAAGGGCAGCACGGTGGCTCAGTGGTTAGCACTTTTGCCTCACACCACCATGGGCCTGAGTTCAATTCCACCCTTGGGCAACTGTCCCTGTGGAGTTTGCATATTCGCCCTGTCTCTGTGTGGGTTTCCTCTCACAGTCCAAAGATGTGTAGGCTAGGTGGATTGGCCATGCTAAATTGTCCACAGTGTTCAGGGATGTATAGATTAGGTGAATTGTAAGGGGATGGGTCTGGGTGGGATGCTCTGAGGGTTGGTGTGGACTTGTTGGCCAAAGGGCCTGTTTCCACACTGTAGGGATTCTATGAAAAAGTGCCAGAATAAAACATGAATCTGCAAAGTGACTAAGAGATCAGGCAAGTTACAAATTGTGTTGTAGAGCAGAATGATAATTAAGTGCATAAGGGGCCGGCATTGCAATGGTTTCACTGTTTCTATACTTTTTGATAGATTATCGAGAAACCCACTTAGTTCTTGTACCTATGTTTTTGGGGCTTGTTGTTCCAACAAGCGATATCTCCGCTTGAAAACATTCCAGCCCTTTCATTTTTCAACGGTGGCTGTCTTCCTCCTCGCTCCCTCCCCGCCCCATTACATCAAAATATCGAGTTCAACCTGTTGTGTCCAGCAGACAAAAGACGAACAATTAGCAGCACGCTTCCAGTGAAAAGGGATCACTTTGTTTTTCTGACCTCAGAATGGGTTTATGTTGAAATGGGCCAGAACGCGCATCTGTTGCAACCAAACACTTGCCTCTGTTTAAGCAGAATGGAAACAGAGCCATTACTCACCTCACCGCCCCCGGCAAATCCCAATAAAACAGTGCCAGTTAACTGCACTGATTGTTCAACTTTTGTCATTCAAACTTCAGAGACTTTTTTTGATCTTGGATTAAGAGAAACAGTTTCCACCCCTCCCCGCCCGCCTTCATAATATCGGAGGGCCTTTTTAAAAGGCTGGGTTGTTGTTGCCCATGGATAAAGTGCTCAGACAACCACAATTATTTAGAACAAAAGTACAGCGGACGTTGGAAATCTGAAACAAAAGCAGAAGATGCTGAGAATGTTTCAGAGATAGTAGGAACTGCAGATGCTGGAGAATCTGAAATAACAAGGTGTAGAGCTGGATGAACACAGCAGGCCAAGCAGCATCAGAGGAGCAGGAA